GGCCTCATGATGAAGAGAAATTCGTGCTCGAGCTTCGAAATGAAAACATTCCTGAAAGATGAAAAATTACGAACAAATAATTGAAGTGAACACATGAGTGTTGAAATATTTTCAAGAATGCGCACTAAAAATAAATAAATGATTAGTGCATCCAAAATTGAAAATGATAAAGGAAGAAAATAATATAAAATACGCCGTCAAAAGAGAAAAATAATAGACAATTTTTAAAATATTATTAAAATATTACGAGGTCAATTTTTAACCTTTCAACGATCAGAAACTTACTGCTTATTTATTTGCATTCAGGTGAGACCGTTGATGATTTATGCGGAGTTGTGGCACGGGACGAGTCCCGTCCTCAACGCCACCGTCACTGCCCGGGTGACCCGCAAGTCCGCTGACGTCACAGACGACGTCATCGTCCCCCTCACAGACGACGGTCAAGGAGGTATGTCCCACGTTGATCACGATCACCATTCCAGTGAATTACTTTGATGATGAATGCAGAAAACATAGGTCGCCTTAGGATGCTCTTGAAGTTCTCGATATAATTTAAGAAACTGGGAGGAAATGCGCCCTATTGAGTTGGCCTGTTGGAACAGGGAGTCCCTTCGGACCAGCTCAATACAGGAAGTCCTAGAGTGGCCTTCAGAAAAAAAAAATCAAAAGAAAGCAGGACTAAAGTAGAGACTCGGTTCCGGTCAATTCGAGACCAGAATATAACACATACCGAACTATATATCTCTTGTAAGAGTATTGATACCGTGACCACATTCGCTCGTTTATATAAGAGAGAACTGACGGGATGTATTAAATTCGAAGCTTTCCCCGCCTAGTGTTTCCCTCTCCGAATTGGAAATTCCAGGGTGTGAAATTCTCGACAGGATGTGATTGAGTTAAGAGAGAACGTGATTCCCCTCGATTGTCACTGCCAGCAACAGCTAAGATGTTCAATCCTAGCAGAAATCCAGCGGCATGCTGGAAAGGGGATTCTCAATGCCAGAGTTCCCTAACCCTCCCTTCTGCGAGAAAATCGGCACCGATAATTGACTCAGACAAATCTTTCCCCCCGAATCAGCGCTCAGTACGGCTACAGATGATTTCATCCGTTAAGATAGGACGAGCTTCGTCAGAATAATACATTTTTTCCCCACAGGTGAATTCTTTATTGGTTGCAGGTACAACGACAAATACCTTATCGTCGGGATTTATTGATGCACTTAGAATGCATGTTTAGGTCACGCAAACATCATAGTGACGTTCATTATTATGTCTGTAGATTAGGCAACCTCGGCGAAGAAATATGATCGATCTAACGTTCAACTATTTCTGAAAAAAATGCATTTCAGCTTCAGAATTGATTGCCCTAATTGCTTTCCTCACATCCGCATCGTTCTGCGCTTGAGCCTATCGTTGACTTTTCGACTGGCCCCGGTGAGAAGCTATCGGTAATGCTTTCCGGAGCGAAGATGCCGACGCATTTTTTGACGAAACTAAAGAAGGGAATCGGTGCTCTGGCACACCTCAAAGGCCTGAGATTCTCATCCTTGACAGGTGCAGTGAATCATTCACCACCATCAGTGGCGTATTTTACGTGGGGGGCCGTCCCCCCCCCCTCCCTTCACTCGCCTTCACTGTCCACCATGCTATTTCAAGGAAGAGGGAAATTCATTTGTTAAGGTCAGGCATTTGCACCAGGGCTTCTTCACGTAACGCACATTTCAGGTCTCTGTCGAACTCTAGTTTCGATTACCCGAAGCCTCATATAAATAGCTCATATAAATAAATACTCAAATAAAATACAAGTGTAGACCTTAGACTCTTGGTACGACGGAATCGTTATTGCAGTTATTTCCGTAGGAGAAGGTAATTTCTCAATCTCATCCAGCGTTCAGATCGACTTCAGTGCTCTTCGACGGGATTAATATTTTATTTCATCCCATATTCCCAGAATGTGAAGGGATGAGGGGTTGTTTCAATTGGAGAACATCGCATGATTCTTCTGTTATTAGTAGTCTTCGGGTGCTGACAATGTCTCCCAACAAAAGTCTCAAGATGAGCAACGCAAATCTAGACATATGTCTAACAAATAGAGTTCTCCTTGTACGTCGTTGAAGCCCAAGGGGAGGTCTTTCACAGAGTCCGAGGGGGGACGACAACACCACACACCCTATACTTCGCGTTAAGCCTCCAGCGAAGGCCTGAAGCTGTCGGAACTTGTTTTCTCTCTGATCTGTAGCACCCATAGTTCAAATGCAGAAGAGGTATCTCGTCATTGCATCTGAAGGTCCTGGCTTTTCGTTGAGTCGTGTACACTAACTACAGAAGGCAAGAAGCACATCTTGGGGAAAACCAAAATATCTCATTCAGTTGCTAAAGGTGTTGCAGAAAATCTTACTATTCTGTAAAAGTCAATAGTGGCGCTCCATTCCTTTGGGAACTGATTTTTTCCCTTTCACATGCCTTTCACTCCGATTCCATGCAGATCCGGACATCACGCGTGGCGACGGCGTTTACTCGGGATACTTCGTGAGGTTCCACCCGGCCCCGGCTAGTTACACCGTGCAACTAGAGGCCTCCTCGGGCCCCATGGGGGCTAAGGTCTACCTCGCCTCTTCCCCTGGTAAGCCTGGATCTATGCCAATTTCCTCAAAATGACCTTTCCCATGGTCCTTCGCCAGTGCACATATCGCCTTTGGTGACGAAAGTTGATCCATCTGTGCCCTTTTTAAAAGACCCTTAATGACTAAATCACGAACGCAATTGTCTGAAATCTATGCTTTCGAATATTCGTGAAGGGTAGATTCGAAGTTCATTCAGATTCTCAGAACGCAGAAAGGTACGGTTGAGGTAGGCTTGTGCTTCTCTTAAAATAAAAGATCCTTAGAAATGAGGAGGAATATTCTGAACTCTCTTGAGGAGACTTGTCAGCTATCAGTATATCAGTCCTTCATGGCTCCTTGTGGATTGCATGATCTAAGAATACAGTTCTATCATAGGAACACAAAAATCCGGATAGGAAAATGTATGAGGTATAAATATTTAAATCCTCCTTAATAATTTCTTCGCTAGGGATACCCAACAGCAACATGACTGACAAGAAGGTCTAAATTCGTGGGTAGATGGTTCAGGGCGTAAAAAAATATAACCCAGGAAGTGGAGCACGATGGGAAAATCCACCTCCTGAGCATAGGAGGGAAAGTGACCTATTGGAAGGCCATGTCCAGATGAGGCGAAATGAGCATGGGCGAAGGCATGTGATAATGAGTCAGTATGGAAATGAGAGGATTGGGACAATGGAGGCCTTTCTCCATAAGGCACGTCTACGCTTATGTACGCCTGTATACGTACGTCCCTTCCTTGTATGCTTTCCGTGTCTATGTCGACACCACGTTGCAAATGCGGTGACAAGCCCGGCCCTTTCTCTCACTTTTTTTTCTCTTTCCGTGAAGACCATGCCTAATGTCCTCAGAGGTGCGTGACCATGTCAATGAAGACCTGGCTGATACTTGATGATCCAGTCGTGTCCTGTAGGGGGGGAAAGTGGCATCAAAATGGGGTCCGTGTTGAGATTTTCCACGCTCTGCCTGCCCCTATTCTTCCATATGGGAACCTTTGACCATAGAGGGGAAAAAAGTCTGACGCGTCGCCGGTAGAAAATCGCGCCCTCATAAATTTTTTATTCCGTGACGCTACAACTCAGGAGTTCTCAGATTCCAAGTGGATATGCTGTAGAGACACAGAGGGGGAAAAAGTGGGTTCTGTCTGAGGAACAAAGAGCAACTCATTGACACGAGGAAGGGAACCTTGACCCCCGTGCGTGACCGTGTGGTTATCATATAGAGAGACTCCATCATACATCAGATGCACACATCATGACATGGATCTGACACATCTCCCCCATTTTTTCGAGCATCTTCCATCTCTAATAGGTGCCCACATCCCTTGTCTTGATCCTGTACGCGGGAAAACAGTAAAGGGCAGATCCCAGGAGCAATCTTGAAACTCGGATCCTGATTCTTTTCTTCATTCGATATCACTTGAAAGTCCCAATCCAAAACTTATATCATATGATAAAAATAAAATCGCGTAATAAAAATTTGAAAACACATAACTCAGAATATTACAAATCACCGTCATTTTTTCTCAAAGATTGATTCCGACTGTGTGACTTCCTGTCATATACAGGGTGGGCAATAAAAACCTGACACATTTTAAAGTAATGTGACGTGGGCATATATGACAGGAAATGAAATTATTTGTATAGCATTGTATAGTATATGAACTGGCAATAGCCAATATTCCAATCGACTTGGCGAAAAGTGATGCAAAACACAGTGATCCATGCACGTCAGTGAATACAGGAATATGGTGGATATTTACGTGCCACTGTTTTCACGACCAAAACGAGGCAAATACCAGACATGAATATTATGTGGAAAACTTATGAGATTGTAGTTTACAATGCAATAAATTCATTTCCTGTCATAATGCCCATTTTACATTACTTTAAAATGTGTCAGGTATTTCTTGCCCACCCAGTATATGGGATGATTCAGAAGTAAATGATGCACTAGTTTTGTTTGTTTGTTTTTTCACTCGAGCAAGATTTTGCATATTTACAAAAGCAGAAGTGCATCTGACTTCTACAAACGTATGAGTTTTTTTCTTTTTACCATACCTAGCATAGGCACCTTTTTAGTGGGCATAAACTTGCCTTGATATTGCCATGCAGGAAAGAAAAAAGATAAATTGGAATCAATTGCAGGGAATGTCTAGGGACCCAGGCGATCTCTTCAGCTTCTGGAAAATTTTCATTGCCTCCCACACTTCAAATTTGCTTGCTCTTACTCAGCTGGAGGCAAGAATCCGCGAAGTCCAATCTATCAATGAAAAGACTTTAGAAGATTCGTTCAAATCAGCCAGCCGCCAGATGAATCTTCTGAATGATGGACGCCCGATGGCTGCAACCCTTGAGATTATGCCCATTCCTTTTACAAAACGGAGCTTACCACAATTAAACTGAATCGTGAAAAACGTAAATGACTGGTGATGAGAAAGTGGAGTCCCCTTAAGGAAAATTTTCAAGATCCCTTTTACTGTCCCTAGGGACGGTTCCATGCTGTGGGAGTGGGCCGACGGAAGGGCAGAACATGACTTCGGTTGGAATCTTCAAGCGAAGGTCATTTGGGGGACGATTCTTCCTGGAATCCCCTCCCACTGAAGATGTATTCCCTCCCAACAAGGTCATAGACCTCCGAGTGACCCCAGATCCCGAAAATGGGGTCTTCGTCCTCGCCTGGACTGCTCCTGGAGGAGACTACAACATGGGAAGAGGTGAGGAATAGAGAATAACTGGAAGCTTGAATGCATGAGGAAAATAGGAAATCTTTTTGTTTAGGTAGCTTTAGGATGTCAGAACCCACCATGATAATGTCCTATTTGGGTTCCTCATTTCGAATGATACTTGTTCAAGTGTAATAGAGGAGAATAAATATTTGAAGCGTGAAAGAGCGCGCCAGTATGAAAGTAAGTTTTTAAATGGTAAAAAAAAATGCAACCCACCGGCACTATTTAGCGCAATCTTCGTTGCACAATGTAACAATATAAATGAATTGCTCTTCTTTCCCATGTTTTCATATTTGCACAGCTCTAGTCCAAATACTTTATTTTAAAAATGTATTGCAGAAATTATAGTAATGACATTAGGGAAAAAAAACTTCCAATCCGAGAAATATCTGTATGGAATGGCCAGACTGGATAATTGTCGGAACTTGAAACTCTTGATTTAGCTGGACGATTGAATGTGAGGAATTTCCTTGCAGCGGCGAGGTACGAGCTGAAGTACGCCCGAGACAGGGAGAGTCTGAATGACGAAAAATTCCCATCCGCCGTTCTTCTACCCACTCCAACACCAGCTACGGCCGGCTCTAAAGAGGTCTTCCGGGTGGATATCGATGCTGATGGTCTCGCCTACAACACCCTCTACTACTTTGCTATCAGGTCTCTGCATGGGCAGTACAGTGAGATCTCCAACCCGGTGGCGGGTTTCATTATTCGCCCTACAACCGTGGCCCCTGCCACAGTTCCCTACCCCACTAACGACCCCTGGACTACCCACAACACCCTGGGCCTCTCCAGGACCCAGTTCATTGGGGTCGTCATCGGTTGTGTGGGATTCTTGATCTTGGTCCTCGTCTTCACCATGTTCTACTTCTTGGTCATGTCGCGACAGAAGTCCAAGTTTCACGAAGACGACGACAGCTCCATGGCCGGAGAATCAGGAATGACCCAAGAGAAATCCGAGCCTGACCTCATCCGACCACCGACTATGAAGGCCAGGGGTCATGTCACGGTCATCAATACCGGGGAACTGAATGGAGGTTTCGTGGCTCCGCAATTCGTCCCTGCCAGTCAGATCCTCGAGGAACATGAACGCCGCAAGAGCTCTTCGTCTTACACGAACCTCCGTTCGCAAGAGGCTATTTACGCCAACTACAGACCAACGTCGAAGACGAATGGTCACATGGTACCGAATGGACACTTACCGAACGGTTATCACGATCGAGTGTCGGTACAAAGTGGTCAACAGAGCGAATCGACTGCTTCGGTGCGTTCGGATCCCACCGGGGGTCAACCACAAGGGATTTCCCTCGTGGGATGTCGACGTGGGAGCTTCGACGACCAAGGACACACTGGGACATCCAGGTCTCCTCCGGTCATCCCTCCAAAGCCTTACACAAAAGGACTATTTTTCACTCCATCATCCAGTCTCAACGATTCCCACTCTTCCGGAGGCAGTGACAAGAAGATCTGGACGGCGACTCAAGTTTGAGGACAAAAGCTGGACGAAGACTGGAACTGTGCCAAATATGTTTTTTATCTCACAAGTCTAGTCATGTGGGGCCGTTATTGCCTTCCCGTGCGTGTTTCGAGTCTCTCGAGGAGATATTTATTGTGTGGCCGTCCGAGTTTTTGTGATACGAATACATTCAGTCATTGTTTTTCGATTCGTGTTTATTTCATCTCGAGTTTTGCTTTTGTTCGCAAGTGACAGCAGTTGAGAAATGAATTCCTGGGATTCCGTTTGGATTAACGAGGATAACAGAAAGGTGAGGGGTGGTCTGGGGAATCTCGATGGGAGACGACAAGCGTCCAACACCCTCGATAGAAGAAGAAAGGAAATCGTGGTTTTGATCACGAGTAATAACGGTCGACGAACGTGGGAGATAAGGTCTAGTCATGGAGGGGACAGCAGGGGGTGAGCGAGCGTGAAATATGGCCGCCCCCTTCACGCTGACAAATGACTCTTCCCCCTCCAGTCTTACGAGGGAGAGGATGACGAGGCATTCCCCAAATTACAAGCCTTGGACACACTCGCCAATTGTACTGGATGATGATAGCAGATAGACTTGAAAACCTTGAAGTCCTTGAAGCCCGTGGAATGCATCTCGAGCAAATAGCCCTTGGGGTTTGTTGGTTCTTCGCACTCGAATTTGCTCTCTTCTTCCTCCCACACGATTGCTCCCGCCGTGAGCCTCTGTCCTGTCTCACTTTTCTCTTGCACCCATAAGAACCTTCTTTGGTTCCGGAGACAAAAAAAAGTGGTACAGGGACCTTTCTGGCTTTTTTTTTCCCAATATCCGACAATATAAAATCTCGTTGATTTAACTTCGCCCTTCAGAAGAGAGATAGCTTCAGAAGAAGCTCTCGCAACTGTACAGCTACTTTGATCTCGAGAGTGCATCCCACTGCGTCAAATCAAGACACATCGTTAATCGGCAGATGGGTGGGTATACAGGGTGTCTTTCATGGATGTACTGTTCTCTCCCAGTAGAGGGAATTATCCGAAGCACATAATATTTCAGGATTATGATTAAAGATCACTCTGAAAGATTCCGTATGCGGCCATCTGATGCCTCCTCTCAGGCAGAGAAATTTCCTCACAGTAAAGATAATCAGTTTGGTGGGTGATACAAATTCCGACCCATCTATAAAGTCCGCCCTCACGCTACACATGTCAACGTAATCAGAAGTACAAACAGCCTTTTTGAACCAAATTATACCAATGCTTGGTCTCTAAACGTGAATGGGCAGTGTGCATTTTCCTCTCGATTGGCATAGATCCCAAAAATATATTTTTCAAACCGTGGGTGAGGGGCGGATTTTGAGCTTCAGGGGGTCGGGATTTGTGTCACCTACATGCCTATGAAAAACTTTCAGAGTTCACCGTTGCCTGGAACCTATCTAATAACTTTTTATGCTTCCGTATTCAGGGATTATCTGGGTTCAATACGAATTTGCCACGTGAGTACTTCCTGGCAATTGTTTTTCAATCACTTCAAAAGTGAACCCCGGCGCCATGGAGAGTCTTAAACCCCTTCAACAGGCCTCTGGAAAAGAAGTACCATCTCGTAGTACAGTGTTTGAATGGTTTGCAGAGTTTCGGAGGGGATGGATGCCCTTGAAGGATGAGCCTCATTCAGGCACAACTTGGGGTTGGGTCAGCAGCAGCGAATGAGATCCTTCACAGAATGCTTGGTCTGAGGAAGGTCACCAGCCGATGGCGCGATAGCGCCTATTACCCGTCCTCAACCCCTTCCCGTAACAAAATTCAACCTCCTTGTAGTCCTCTCTAGAACGAAATTCGGCATGTTTCTTTTTCTCTCAACATAGATGCACCATTTCGCCGTTGAAAAAAAGAAGAAATTAGCCGCTGTTCGTGTTAGCTAAAAAATGTATTGCAGAAATTATAGTAATGACATTAGGAAAAAAAAACTTCCAATCCGAGAAATATCTGCATGGAATGGCCAGATTGGATAACTGTCGGAACTTGAAACTCTTGATTTAGCTGGACGATTGAATGTGAGGAATTTCCTTGCAGCGGCGAGGTACGAGCTGAAGTAAGCCCGAGACAGGGAGAGTCTGAATGGGCTTAGCGTGTTGGCTCCGGTCCTGTCCCCCAGAATTGCCGGATATCTTGCCGAAGTTTGCCGGATTCATGACTGTTTCGGCCTTGGTATCAGTATTTAGCTAATCTGTTTCTTAACCCTCAACTACTCGCGCCCTGTCTCATGTCATAACTACTCGCACGGTGTACTTTATACACCAGTGTATATAGACAGTATTTATTCAGTAATATGGTATGAAATTACATACAAACCCAGC